ATAATATATAGCATACAAAACTGTCCCAGGGACTGGAATCAAAGAACTTTAATTCCCAGCCCTAAAGAGGTCCTGTTTTGGTTAAGGACGTTTGTTGTAAACAGCAGCCAGCTGAGAAGCCATTTATTTGATTTTGGCAATAGAGACAGACAACAATGCACATACACTTATTTCATTGAAATGTAAACTGATAAGGTCAGGAAAGGAAAAACTCCCACGGTTTATGTAATAGGACTCAATTAAATGGTTTTGGGAAGGGACTAGAACGTAGGTAGCAGTCTACTTTCCAAGGCTGAAATTATATAAATACTGAGTAATAAAGGAAATGTTCATTAGTAATCCATCCACGTGTATTTCAGAGTCTAAACATTTGATACCCCCTTCCTCCCTATCCCACCCATCCCGTTAGTCTTGACTGCATTAAAATAGTTCAACCCAAACACTCTGTACTATAGCCTTCCTTTAGCATTTATATGAAAAGCCAAAGCTAGAGAGAAAAAAAATCCTTACACCTCCTCTCCACTAAAGCATCAGTGTAGAGAAAACTAAGCTCAGATTATACCCAATAACATACCAAGGAAAAAAGTGAGTGTGACTGAGGGGACCCCCGCCACCAACCACAGTGTGCGCTGTTAAACGGTAGTTATCTTCTTGTCCTTGGTGGCTTGCTTGATGGCAGCCTGCTCGCAGATGATCTCCTTGAGCCGCTGCAGCCTCATGTTCTGGGTGGTCTGTTCCCCCACCCCCGTCTGGCTGCGGTGCAGCAGGGTCAGGGCGTGGATGTACTCCAGCTCCGTGTACTTCACACCCTGGTCCACCACCAGGTTCAGGAGCTCATCGGCTGTGTTGTAAAGCATCTCGTAGTACTGCCTGAGAAAGCAAGAGAGAACACTGCTCACCTGCTCCAGCACTGGTAGCATGGGTCTCCAGGGGACAAATACGCTGTCTATACATTGATTCCTCTACTTACTTCATAATTATCCATCAGCAGGCAGTGTTCTAGGCCCTACCAATAGAATAAAGAACACGACAGCCACAAGCTCTGTCATTTGGAACTCACGGGAGCTCTCTTCAGGGGAAGTCTAAATGAGGACCCAGAGAGGCCACACACCTTTCAGGGGCTCAGCTCATTCTACATTTTCTGCTAATTTTGCATTTACCATGTGAGAAAAAAAGAAAAGTAGGGGTGTAGCCTGAAGAAGGAAAGAAGGTATTGCTAACAGGTTTTGTCTCATTCAATCCCTCATTCATTCATTATTCATGGGAGGCTTTGTGAAATACTGTACATGGTTGTCTGCTCCATAAAGTGGGTACCTACCTCTTGGGGTTATTGAAATCATTGAATTAATTAATACGTATAAAGCACTCAGAATGATAGTGCTTCACAAAGATTTATTATTAGAACTATCATCATGCTAATGTGTGATAGTAACATAATAAAAGCAATAGGAGAATATGAGGATGGGCAAGACACAGCCCCTTTCCTCAAGTAGCTCAGAGACAAGAAGGAAAGGTCATGAAAAGCAGAGACATAAGGATTCCAGTGCCGTTGACCAAGTTCATTCCCATGCACTGTACCACTTACCCCTCACTCCACCCAGGGGTACACCTCCTTTTCCCAGACCCAAAGACTGAAGCACAGGGAAGTTAGACTGCTTGCCCATGTCACAAAGACAGGAACTGACTATGCCAGGGTAAGACCCCAGGTTTCTGACTCTAAGTTCAAGACTGTTTCTTTGTGGACACTTGACAAGTCACAAGAATGTTATACGTGCCATAAGTAAGGTCCAAGGGAATTAACAGCAGAGGAGGAGAAATTGCACCACACTGAGGGGACTGTGTAAGGAAGACTTCATATGGGGTAAGGTTCTGTTAGGCAGGGCTTCCAAGAAGGAAATGCTGGTTGGAGGGAAGAGCATGAGCAAAGGCATGGAAGAATAATCTGGTTAGATTGGGAGTACATAGGAATAGCAGAGAATCCTGGGATAAGGCTGTTGAAGCCACAATGTAGAGCATCTGAACATCAGGCTATGACTTTAGACCTATTTAAGCCCAGAAAGTACTGCTTTCTGCCAGAGAGCAGAGGTGCCATTCAAAGTTGTGCTTCTGGAAGATTAATGTGGCAATGGAATGTAGAATGGTCTGGGAGGGCACTGGTTACAATTCAAGCAGAAAGAGGAGACTTGAGACCCACTTAACAGCACAGACATTGGCCTGGGTGGTGGAGAAAGCTTCATGCCTGTAATAGAAATATGCATTAGAGTGATGCTTCCATGCAGCAAGGAGATGAAGGCAGGAATCAGGAAGGGGAGAAGACTGCTACCTGCCATTCTTTAAACCAATAATATGCCACTGCTATCTCTCTGAGTCTACTGAACTCTGAGGCTGTGACTTGCATGGCCACTCCAAATTACCCAGGAGGTCAAGTTCAACACTGACTCTGACAGCAAAAGGAAGAAGAGTGTTACCCACTTCTCACTTCCTTTTTTCTTCTTTTTCCTCTTCGTCTGTCAACTGATCACTTCTCTCTTCCTGACGTGAAAGGTAACTTTGCCAAGATTGAGGGGACAAAACCAAGCAGTGTGCTCAAGGCAACTCTTGGATGTGAAGGAATCTTACATGCTTAGCAGGATCACTGGCTCGCAAATCCTGAATTATTAGACTCAGGGTCTTGAATGTGTTTCTTTCTCAGCAGGGACATTTTGAAAAAAAAAAAAAAAAAAAAAAAAAAAAAAAAAAAAACCTCCTATGGGAAAATGAAGCTATCTTTGTGGTAAGAAATACATTCTAGGAACTCCGTAATTTCAGGCATATTTTATTTAATTGCTTTTACAAGGGGAATGTGGTTGGGAAGAGTTGCGGTGTCTTTTCACATGGTTAGCTTCTTTTCCTCCTGCTAAGCCTCCTTTTCTAATTAACACACTCTTTTAAAAAAATACGGGAAATAATCTTTTGTGAATATTCCCTAAGCAGTGGCAGAAATGGAAAGTGCTGTTTGCAGACTGGTCAGTTAATGAGCAAACTGGTCAGCATCCCTGTGTACAGGGGGCTAATTTTCTATCATGGTTTAAAATGAGTGTTCATTTTAACGTCACAGAACCAGATACACTTCAATCACTGGTCCAGGGTGACCCTGAATGTAGACGAAAATACTTGGTAGAAGAGGAGAAAAAAACTCCATTTCCAGGAGCATGAGAAGCCAGTATCTGCTATAACCAGTAAATCTTTTGAAGTTTCACGTTTAGCATAAAACTCATGTGAACTTTGCATTCTACTCCTCAATATATCTGTTGTAATTTTAAATACACTGTTTCTAAGAAAAACTTGACGCTGCAGGAAGATGCATCATATTCATATTTATCCTACAGCTTTGCATGTCCCCTGCTCTTCCTGATATTGCTCCCTATTTTGAGAAATGAGGCCCTATGTCATCTAATTCTGTTTCCTGTGGATGCACAGGTGAAGGAGACAGTTGTCTATTAATGGAACTTCCTAAGAATATACATTTTTAAAATTGCTCAAGAAGAACTCATGCATGCATTGAGATTTATCAAATGAAATGAGAGCAAATATGGGATTCACGATTCTTTCAAAGCTAGAAGGATCCTGAAAGCTGCGGTTTTTAGACTAGCCTTCTTGAACTTTAGGGTACCTAACTAAGAATTACCTTGGGGTGCTTATAAAAGTGCAGATTCCTGAGGCCCCATCCCCAGACACAATGTTTCTTAAAGGTTCTGAACCAGCCAAGACTCACCCCGAGTCTGCCTGGTAGACGAATAGTTACAGAACCACTCCTGTCTCCTCCAGCCACGGACCTAAACGCATCAGGGAAGGCTACAGAAGTAATAAAAGGTTTGTGATGCTTTTCACTGAGATTAAACCAAAATAACTGGATTTCTTTGTATTAGGATGTTGATATTTTTATCATTTATCTTAAGAAGTAACACTGAACCCATCGTGCCAGATGAAATTGGATTTCTTTTGAAAAACCTGGTGAATTGTTTCCAGGGATACTGGCTGGTTTTCTACAGAGGCCGTTGTTCCATGCTGGGAACAAACAACAAAACAAAGATGCCTGCATTTCTACTCCTGGATCTTCCACTGTGCTGAGTGATAAAGGTCAAGCCACTTAAGTCCTTAATGTTTCAATATCCTCTGTGCAATGAAGACCTTTATAAATCCCAGAATGACAGTCTGAAGTGGACTGAGAGACTAAAAGAGTCCTCAAGAGCCTCAGATGAACAATGCCCCTGAATTGCAAAGCTGAGTTATTCAACAAAATTGACAGGTTATTGATGGTGTATTTTCTATAGTTAGGGAGAAAAAAAATCCCCTATAACCATGATGATATATTAGATCATAAGAATCATAAATATTTAAAGACAGAATGAAATTCATTTATCTTTCAGAATGGTACCCAGGAGCAAAGATGACTAAACTGACATAGCAACAGTTACACTTGGAGGTGGGGAAAGGGTGCTACCAGGTGCCCTGAAGAGAAAATAGAAAAATGCCTCCAAACTATACCATTTGAATGAGCTTCCATGATAAACACTGACAGACTGAAATGAAATCATGTCACCCAATAGGGATAAGTAATTTATCAGCACTTATTGAGGCCCCAGGAAATGGAAAGCTTGGTCTTCACCATCAAGCATTAAAATAGCAGCCATGGCTTCCAGGGCAATGCATTTTCCATTCAATGACACTTTGCTGGGCTGCCTGGATGGGATCAGTGAATACACATTTGATTGAGATATTTTCTAGCTCATGGCTTGCAGCCCTTCACAGCCTCTTCATAGCCTACAATAATTCAGCATCCAATTGCTATATGTAGACCAAGTATTTTATTCTGAAGATCAAAGAGTTTCATGTCACCCTGGTGGATGGAACATTCTAGGAGGAGATGTGTGCAGTGCTGTGGTTTCTCCTACCCTATGCCGTGTGCCTTTGAGCAGCAGTTCCCAAAGCGTAATGAGCAGAGAGGGTGAGGGAGTGGAGTGACAGGGAAGTGGAGGCGTGATTTCACAGACACCGGTCTCATGTGCAGAGTCTAGAACATGACAATGTTTATGCTTTGTTCTGGTGCAAACAGATCATTTTCTCTTATCTTCATCGTGTTTGCTTTACCAACAGACTGTTCTCTGTGGCTTTTTCCTTCGTTCTTTATTTTAAGGGAACTGCACTGTGACTCTTTCTCTCTCATCCATTCTGCCTGAAAACATTTCTACCAGGAAGGAAATGCAGGGTATTTTGGAAAGGTGGGCAGATCTTTTTAAAGTTTTAAATTAAAATTGTACCTTCCTCTGATTGGAAAGTTAATACATGTGCCATATAGAATATATGGGCTATAAAGAAAGTTTTCTCATAATTCCATCATATAGATAAACCACAGTTTGGCATATTTTCTTGTAGTTCACCTCCAGCACATGCAGTGTTCTAGCCTATTTCTTTCTTAGAGTTGAAATGTTTAGGTTGGAACACTATTGGATACTTCAATTGTTGCTGAAAAGGCTTTCTTTCTCATGGATAGATTTCTAAAAACAGAATTAGTTAAAAGATAAGTACATTATTTAGGACACTTGACAATGCTGCCAAGTTGCTTTCTAAAGAAGCTCTATCGATAAATTTATCCTCCTGTCAACAACATATGGGCGGTATCTAACTCACATTCTTTTGTGTTGCATGAGGTTGAATAATTTTTCATCTATGTATTCGTTTTTAATGTATGTGGGTATGTGTGTGTGTATAAACGAATTGTTGATATTGTTTTATCTTTGAGTACTAATGCTTTTCTGACTTCTCTTTAAGAGCTTTTCATAATTTTTTATAGCCAAGTGGGCCAGGGAGTTTTCTCATCCCTGGCTCTA